CCTCCTGCCTCAGCCTCCTGAGCTACTGGGATTACAGGTGCGTGCTACCATGCTAGCTACTAGGTTGGTTTTGATTTTTATAACACATCTTCCAAAATCAATCTCAACCTGCTTCAAATTAAGTATTCTAAATCTCCAACAAACTGTATTTTAGATGTGTTGGATATGATGGCTTGTCACTTAACATTTGTTTCTAYCTCCTTCAACTGTACATTATTTCACAACTCTGGCCAGAGGCCTAAAAATTACATTTCCCAGAGTCCCTTGCCCCCAGGACTCTGGGCATGGAATAGATTCTACCAATAAGATGAGATGGAGAAGAAGGGAGGTGGAGGGTTTCTAAGGATGATGTTTGCTAGYTGGTTTTTGTTGTTGGTAGCAATGGTCAGTCACTAGCTTCCTGGCACTTTGCAGCAGCTTCTCTGATCAATGGAATACAGCCAAACAGTGTGCTTTTKATGTCAGCAGTTCCAGTGGTTCTCATTCCCAGCCTCCAGCCTGTGGCAGTAATGGGAGCAAACCTGGGCAGGTTCAGGCAAGCTGCCTGAGAATCACCTCCTGAGGCTTAGCCAAGATCCTCGCATCTCTTATAAGTAGCAACTTTCCCTTCCAACCTTCTCTGTGAGCAACTAATTCCCTTATTAAAGCTCTTTCTGCTTATGGTAGCTAGGGCTGTTTCCCTTATCTGCAACCTTACTGATAAGAGAAAGTGAAGGCAGAGATGAGAGCATTCTGTACACCAAGATGGAAGGGAATACCTTGGGAGAACCATGAAGGGGGAAAGGTTRTGCCCATCTGGCAAACACAGTTATGCAATACAAAACCTAAGTCAGGATTGATGGCACTTTAGGGTCTGGAATTGAGGGAAAAAAAAGAAAAAACTTATGAAATCTGGGAAATAACCATAGGGAACACTGGAGAGAGAAGGAGACAAGGAAAAAAACAGAGAATAATACTATGTACTTGGGGAAGAGAACCGCACACCAAGTCCTTGAAATGACCTTGAGAGAGCAATCCAAGGGGGAGGCTGCTTCCGGCCACTGCTCTGCAGAGTGTATGTCACAACCTCACAGAGCTGGGCTCAGGGACTCTCAGATACTTTGGTGACCTTTCCATGTGAGAAATATGAAGCAATCCGTCCCTGCAGCTCTTCTATAGATATGGATTAAAACTGAAGGGGTGACTGTGTGTGGGTGTGTGGGTGTGATATTATGATAGCTAGAAGTATCCATGACATGTATTTTAAACAGAAAATCTGTTCAATTTGAAAAAGAAATTAATCCAAAGTATTTTAAATTCAGACTATAATACAAAGAGCTGGCAAATTAATCTATCATGGTAAAACTGTTTTCATTTCTGATCAGTTAATAAAAGATTACAAATATCATTTTTCTAATTCAGTAGAGTAGTCTGAAAAACTCTAAGGTAATATGTTTCAAAAACAATTAAGAGTTCTACTCAAACCAYAGCCTTACATAGAAAAAAAATGTTTCTCATAACAGACCTACTGCTTCGGCCTCCTACATACTGTCTTGCCCCCTTCTTCAAAAGTACCTGCTCTCTTCTTTGTTCTCCCTGAAACACACACGCACACACACACACAGTCACATTCAGGGTCCCTGCAGGTGCTGTTTATTCTGCATTAAACATTCTTCCCTCATATCACTTCCTTATGTAAGCATTCCTCACCTCCTATCCCACAGATCTAATTCCTTATTTCTACCTTCATGCATTTCTAGATGCTATAACTGAGTAGCAAAGACTGGGTAATTCATAAAGAATTGAGTCTTATTTATCTCATGGTTCTGGAGGCTAGGCAATCTAAGAATATTGCTCTACTCAGCATCTGGTAGGGGACTTCTTGCTGGTGGTGAATCTCTGCAAAGTCCCAAAGAGGTATCACATGGCAAGAGAGCAAGCCTAGTGACTTGGATCTTTTCCTAAAAACCACTWATACAATCCTAGGACTCCAGCCTTATGACCTCATTATTCTGACCCCCAAAAGCCCCATTTCCAAATACCATTAACATACAACTCCGAGGATTAAGTTTCAACAGGAGTTTCGGAGGGACACACACCTAGACTATAGTACTTCCCTTGACATTTTTCCCCGCAAAGCACTTAGTAAAGATTAAAATGATAGGTTTACCTCTTACCAGCAGACATGCATTCTGCAAGCAAAAGGTTCAAGTATGTTTTTCTTGCTCTTAGTACCTTGGGTGCCTTGGGAATGTTGAATGCCTGAAAAGCTGAATAAATAGTATTTCTGCTTCCTTTCCACAGTCTAAATACTAGACCCTATTTCTAAATCCTAAAGGATGTAAATTTTGTAAAAACCAAAAATTAACATCCTGTTATCAAGACTATATTTCTAAAGACATTAACAGAAACTAGTTAAGCAAATGCATAAAATTTATTTTACAAGTTCACTTGGAAAGCTCCTCCCTCGCCCTATTATCTATCTCATCATTATCTCCAAAAATAATTGCAAGTGACCTCTTTAACCTTGGTAACTCAAAGGTCTGTCTAGGGTAGAGGAGAAGCAAGTGTGACAGTGTTAGCCTCAAGCTCCTAGGCAACGCTGACTAGGAGAGGAAGGGGGAATGACCCATTGACTCAAATATTAAATTCTAGAGTCAATTATGCAGCAACCCCTCTGCAGCCCCGGGAAATGATATTAAATCAACACTGCTACTTCTTACTATAACCACTCTTCACGACTGTTCACAATGTGCCAACAGTATACTCAGCATTTCACACTCATTATTCCATCTGCTTCTCATAACCACCTTAGAAGGATCATTATGCCCATTTCACAGATGGGGAAATGGCACTAAGCTAAATTTCATTCCAGGCAATCTAGTTCAAACTTAAAAAGCCTCCCTGGAGTAGTTGGAAGGGTCTCTGCATGAGATGTAAGTACCCGAAATAAATGGCATTATCCCCTCTTTGAACAGCTCTTAGCTAGGGCTTTTATCCTCTCTTATGCCATCAAGAGAAGAGAATCACAAAAGCTATGGCCATGTAGGATCACTATTCCTTTCAGCCTTCCCAGGGACCAAACTATGCCAGATCCAGCTCAATATGTAGATCCTTCAGTTTGTCCTTACATAATTCTTCAGTTATCTTAATACTTGCATGCCACTCTTCAGAACACTTCCTAATTTGTCTAAGAGTAAAAACATAAAATTGCACAGACAAGTGCTGACAGCCTAATTTTAACATTCGTTACACCATGGGCTAACTGCAATTAGAGTATTCACTCAATTCCTTCTTAAAAATATAAACCCAATTGTGGATGTGTAACCGACATGATTCTGCAATCTGCATTTGGGGTAAAATTGGGAGTTCATAACCCACTTCAAYCTAATGTATGAAATATGATATGTCAAGAGCTTTGTAATGTTGTGAACAACCAATAAAAAAATATAAACCCAACATCCACATGCAATAACACAAGAAATTCATTGCRTTTTTCTCTCAAAATTTAGATTCTGAGTATTGCTAAGCATCCCTAGCTTGTGCCTTCTTCAAAGCAATGATAAAGCCTACCACATGTGTCTCAAATTTTGGAGCCTAGTTCTCCATACTTTCAAGTGAAATGCATTGAAGTATTCACATACCCATCTCTCAGAAATACTATATGCGGTGTCTGACTAATACCTTTTCTACATAGCCCTTTTAATCATAAGTAAGAKTTGGCTTTGGAAAATACACATATACAGAGATTTAAGATGTTCTGGGACTTCCTCCTGCTAACCTGACCCTCTATTTTAAGGCAGAATTAGTTAACTATGCAGACTAAGTATTTTCAATGTCATCATCCCTCTGGTAAGTAAAATTTTATTGAAACCTCCAAACTACCTTGATGCTTTAACTATATTAAGATATATGCCCCCAATGGGGGCGGGGCAAATTATTTCCAAAGAACATCATTACAGTAATTGAATCTTTCTAGAAATATGATTTCTTTTGAATTAGGGAGAGTCTGTAAGAGTTCTCTTTTTCAAATCTGACCAAGCACATTAATAAAGCGGCAGTTTTCTGAAGCAGTTTCCTTAGTGACGAGATACTTTCCAACTTGTCAAGGTCTCCTTTAAATAAGTTACACGCAATCAACGGCATCAGAGCCGCTAGCATCCTTCTCCAGTGATCCTCTCTTCTGAGCCTCTCTAAGGCACCACTCACAATATCAGAGTTGTTTACAGTGCATTTTCAGCCAGGAATCAAGGACATAAAAACCTACAGTCTCCCTTGTAAACTTCAAAACAAATTAACCATTCATTAGCCAGGAAGGCAAAGGATTTGACTTGCTAATTAGTCACACGAATAATGTTTTCCTCTGCTGAAACAACACCAATCGTTACCTGTAATATTGCAATAACCTTAATACAAAGCTATTTAGATTCATTCTAGCTCTTTTCCCCATGTGAAATTTCCTATGTACATTCAAATTCATGCATACCCACTTAAATAAAGCTTTGCCCGTAAATCTTGTAATCTTCCCTTCTTTCTACATAAAGTATAGTTTGCTTATATCATGTATCACAAAGAACCAAAGCAATATAAACAGAGAGAGAGAGAGAGAGAGAGAGAGAGAGAGAGAGAGAGAGAAATTGAGAACACAAGTAATATTATATAAATCCTACCATCCTATTTTGGCATTCCTTTCTAAAAACCGTATTTTCATCTTCAGCTTTGAAAACTTTCTGCCTTCGAGTTATCTTAGTTCTCCGCCTCCTGCTAGTTAAAAATCAATTCCCAAGTGATAGCTTCTGAAGGGAAAGATACACGTGCACTCCACGAAAATACAAATTCATTTTCGCCTCTAAGCCACTAACCGTGTCCCCTTCAGCTCTGACTGATCGGTTCTCCCATCTGAAGCACATCCCGCGATCCCTTACTGCCCGCAGGCTCGCCGGTTTGGGTCGTGTCTAAGTTTGCAGGGTAACCAGGTCACCCACGGCGACTGGAACGGCCTAGGAAGAGCAGGAACTCACCCAGGCGGTCAGACCCCGGGCGTGCAAGGCGACCTGTCGCGCCCTCTCCTCCCAAAGGGCGCAGAGCCAGCAGAACTAGGGCGGAAAAGAGGCTTCTCGCGGCTCCCCTCTGCAGACCATTGTCAGCGCCCGGGTCGCGGGCGCTTTCGGCACGGTATCGGGGCGGGAAGCTCTCCGAACCCAATAGTTACAGTGCTCTCCGGGGAGCTGCCGAAGAAAAGCTCTTTTGCATCCAGGTCGGGGCGGTTCTAGGTGTAACTTCCACCTCTTGACCTATTTTGGAGCGTGAGAATGAAAGGAAGAGGGAAAAAAAATAGACGGAGGGCGCGCGAGCGCGTGGGGTGCTGTTGCGCGCGAGGCCGCGGGGAACGCGCGCGCACCCGCGCGCGCGCCCGAGCTCCTGTGGGGCTCTGGAAGAGAAGTTGGAGCGAGGCCCCAGAGGCCTCCCGCTCCGAGGCTCGCTGCCCGGCTCCTCCCGCCGCGGCCGGAGTACCACCCTCGCCAGACCCTTCCCCGCGTGGAAACGAGCTTCCGGAGCTCGGGGTGCTTCGGGCAGTCCCGGCAACGGTACCTGGACGACCGCCCGCGGCCCCGGGAGCGCGGGCTCCCGCCCAGTCACCACCCCGCCTCCCAGACCCGCCCTCACCTCTCAGGAGGCGGCGCTCCGGCTCCGGCTGTCCGGGAACTCGGGCCCGCGGCGTCTCCGGGTCGGGAGGACGAGCCGACTTGGAGGGGCGGCGGACGCCAGGCGAGCCGGGGGAGTGTCCCCTCCCCACCCYGTCCCCTCCGAACGTGCCGGGGAAGTGAGGCTCGAGCGCTCTCTCCCTGCCTGAGGCCGGGGGTGACCTTCCTGCCTCCTCCCCCTCGCTCTTCTGCTCGGTCTCTGGCGTGGCCCGTCCTCAGTGGGCGAGGACACCGAGGCGGGTACACCTGGTCGGCCCAAAGCGCTGCAACGCAGTACCTGGGGTGACAACACCGTGACGCTTCAGCGCGTCTTTTCTCATTTGGTCCTGGCAGCCACCTACTCCAACGGAAATGCCCCCCCTTGGGTACCTGTGTACATGGGATAGATAACTAGATCAGAGGATTTTTGCATAGTCCAGAGTGCCACTGCATGGACGCTCCGAATCGTTTTACTGAAACAGTATGCTCCATCTGTTAAAGAGTTTTTGCCAAAGGAGCCCCATCAAGTGGCATCTATCAGAGGACAGGATGGAACCTAGAAGTTTTTCCCCAAAAGGGGACACAGACACACACCCCCTTATTTCTGTAAGACTATCTCTGCCACCACGTCTTTAGCGTAATCACATTCAACCTCTATCAGTAAACTACTCAATTGTCATCAGGGGTCTATGTATTAAAAAAAAAAAAAAACCCTTGTTTTCCAAGTCAAATGATTACTACTTTAACTGTTCTATTGACCTTTATGTACAAGGCTGGGACTCCCGTTCCCATGGGGTGGAGGGACCACTTCACCTTGAGTTGTTTTTCCAGTCTYGTTCGTTTGTGTGGACCCAGCTGTATGTCTAGTGTGTAGACACTGGTATATTCAGGGTGGTACTAAGAGGGCCTGTTGGAGATCAGCAGACAGTTTCTGTTTCTGGAACAGTTTCCTAGTGCCACAGTATATTGAGGTGGGGTACAGGGAACATCTGCTCACACCTCTTTATTGTCATGCCAAGGGTAACCAAATAGGCATTGCCTTTTTCTKTAAGTACCCTCACTCCCCCACCCCTGTTTAGTGGTGAGGTGCAGGGMAGGTCATGAGCCTGGTTTTATGTATTCTTCTTCAGCTGAATGCCACCCACTAGAAATGTCACTGTTCATTTTCGTTTCCATTCAGTGAAGCTGCAACTTCAGTACAGAGGAYGAGTATTAGATACTGAAATGTTCCCTGCCTCTTCCAACAGAGCAAGACAAAGCACATCTAAATAGTATAGTGCCTGACATATTGTAGAGACCTAATCAATACTTATGGAGTGAATGTTTTCTAAACAGAGTGTGMTGAACAGGAAAGTGGCCTGTTTTAAATGTTTTAGGAAAACATTCACATTCAGATGAGGTGGTCAGGGAAATAATCCTAGAGGAAGTGACAGGTGAGGAATTTTGATACAAAGGAACTGGCTTAGGAGGAGGGAGAATAAAAGTATGTTTGATGTGATTTCAAGATATGGGCATGGTAGAGGTTCTTAACTTTTTGTACAAATAGATCCTTATAAGAATGTGACAGAAGTTCTAGAGGCACCCTACCTAATAAACAAATGATAAAGATATTTACATATGTATTCTGGGAGTTCATAGACGGCTGAAGCAGATCTGTAGAATCTCTAAAGTCTGCAGACTTGAATTTCTAATTCTTTGTTTGGAAGCAGGGAGAAAAATAAAGACATTGTGTTAGCTGTTTGCTCCTGTGACAAAATACCTGAGATAAGTTACTTAAGAGGAAGAAAAGTTTATTTTGGCTCACAATTTCAGAGTTTTCAGTCTATGATAGGTTGGCTCTGTTGTTTKGGGGCCTGTGGCAAGATAGCAAGCACATCATGGTGGGGAGTGTATGACAGAGCAAAGCTGCTCATATTTGATGGCTCAGAAGCAAAGAGAGGAAAAAGAGGAGCTAGAATCTAAATATCTTCCTCAAGGACACACCCCCCAATGATCTAACTTCCTTCCACTAAGCCCCACCTCCTAAATGTTCCACCCCCTCCCAATAGCACCACAGCTGGAGTCCAAGTCTTTAGCTTGTTGGCCTTTGGAGGACATTTAAGATCCAAACCATAACAGAGATTATTCTAGTTGAGACCATGAAAGAAAGCACTTCTTCCATGGCCCACCAAGAGTATTTGGGTATGGGAATAGAACGAAAAGTGTGATATAAAGAAAATTTGTACACTAGAAAAAAATAGCAGAATTTAAAAACAGTATTATGTTCTTTTTATATATGAGAATTTGAGATCTCAGCAAAAAGGGAAATGGGATAGATAAAATAGGGTTGTCTAAATATTGACAGCTGCTGATGCTGGGTGGGTACATGGGGTTATTGTATTMTTGTTTCATTGGGATGCTTGACATTTTTCAGGGAAAAAAATTTGATGAACTTTTACCCTGGGTTAGTCATAACCAATCCTATGGCATTTCCTAGAATGGAGAATTTGTATATTATGAAGAAAAGAAATGAAAAAGGAAACAATATAAAGATGTCAGTGATGTTACACATAAGATCATTATTAACAAGCCTTTTGTTGTTGTTGTTCTTTTTAGATATACATGACAGTAGAGTATATTTTTACATAATATACATGCATAGAGTATAATTCATTCTAATTAAAATCCCATTCTTGTGTTTGTAAATGATGTGGAGTCTCACTGGTTGTGTCTTCATATATGAACATAGGAAAGTTATGTCCGATTCATTCTACTGTCTTTCTATTCCCATCCTCCTTCCCTTCCCTTCATTCCCCTTTGTCTAATCCAATGAACTTCTACTCTCCCTGCCCCCCTTATTGTGTGGCAGCATCCACATATTAGACAGAACATTCGGCCTTTGGCTTTTGGGGATTGGCTTATTTCACTTAGCATAACAAGTGGAGTCTTTATTGAAATTATAGATTTCTCTTAGAATGAATCATGACTTGTGTTCATCATAGTCTTGACAGAAGCCAGACAGACCACTGTGTGAACACTGAACAGCATTCCATATTTCTTTATAATCTTACACCTCAGTTTGTACTGCTTAATTAACTAAGCTTCTTTTAATTACAGTATATAATTGTATAGTGCATATTTATGTATCTATTATGCCATACATTAATATTACTCATTTTTGCCCTATATTATCAACATATTATATAATCATTATTATATTGCTTGGATAATGTAGTTCCTTTGTTAACTCTTTAGTTCTGGCCCACACCTCCTGAAGTAGCAAGGGCAGGCTATGATCCGCTGAGTACCTGCCTTGCTTGCTGCCTTCTTCTGAGAAAGGCAGCCACAGTGGTAACTTACACACAGGTTGGTGTTGTTCATCCTGTGACTAATTCAGTCAAGGATTGCTGCTTACCCAAAGGAATGACATAACTTATCCTATGGCTTAGGAAGCAGACTCTGGAGGACACTGCCCATTAGGTACAAACTATGTTGGATATTGATGACCTGAGCAGATCAGGTTTTTCCTTACTCCTTAGAGGTGTCTTAGAGGCAGGGCTGGGATTTGAACTCAGGCAGTGAGTGCTCCACACACTCTTCACCACTCTGTTCACTGCCTCAGGAGAAGCACAGATAGTTAAACTGAATCACATGCCTGACCAAGTCAYATTATTGGGAGCAACCGGTGCCTGGGTGACTAAGGAGCTCACTCTTGTGTACTTCCTGGCACTGCTGTGTTTCCTCATGGATGGTCCAGAACCTTCTGAGTTGTTCATAGTTGTGAAGACTAATATGTTCTTTCTTCCTTCCTCATGAAGCTCCATGATAAAGTCATATCAATGCAGATCACGTTTCTCTTCTTTTTGACCTGGGCCGATAGAACCGTATAACCTACTGTTGCCTGTAATACCTTCACGACAGGAAATAGAGCTATGAGTCTTCCTTCCATGACTTTATTCTGTGCAGCAGTCTCTAATGCAAACAGAAGATGTACCTTCTTAGRGAGGTTACCTTAAAATAAATTTCTGCAAATCAAGCCACATTTTCCAACTRACATTTTATTAGTAAAATAAATATTTTTTCAGAAAAAATTTCTGAACCATATGGAAAATATATTTAGAATTTAGCAGCTATTATTCTAACCATTTCTTGAAGGAAATATAGAATAAAAATAAGATCAATAAATAYTAAAACCAGATTATTTCATGACCCTACTGCTTGAGGTCCTTCACCACCTCTCCATGGTCTCATTAGATAACACAAACACATAGAGGGGGGTGCAGCACTGCTCACAACCTGGGCCCAAACTGGCTCTCAGGGTCCAAGGGAAATCATGAGATTTCTCCAGTTCATGTAGCCCTAAGTTTTAGCCTCTAGTATCTTGAAGAGTGGGATTTGGGTAAATAATTCATGTAAGTTCTTTTCTATCGCTGTTGACCATTATCTTACCCATTTTATCCTCATTTCTTATCACAGTCCCAGTACTTAGTGATAACTTAATGCATGTATTTGAATTGAGTTTGTATATATTGCCATAAGTCTCAAGCTACATGATGTTTGTGTCACAATTTCATTCATTTAAACTCTGATCACCTACTATATTCAAGGCCCTGGCCTAAGTCCTGGCTGTTAGCCACTTTGTATGCTTTATCTATCATTGATATAATGAAGAATTTTTAAAAACTGC